GGAGGCAGAGCCAGGCGGATCTCTGTGAGTTCGAGGTCAGCCTGGGATACAGAGCGAGTTCCAGGAAAGGCGCAAAGCTACACAGAGAAACCCTGTCTCGAAAAACCTAAATAGATAGATAGATAGATAGATAGATAGATAGATAGATAGATAGATAAAATGAGAAAGAGACAGAGAGAGAGAGAGAGAGAGAGAGAGAGAGAGAGAGAGAGAGAGAGAGAGAGATAGCAGGCGAGGCTAGGATTGGACTTGGAGGCTTCCCTCTGGTGATGGGACCAAGGTCTGCAATGTGGCTGTCAGTTAGAATCAGAACTTAAGAACTTTTAAAAAACATTTTTCAGCCAGGCCTCAGTAGCACACATCTTTAATTCCAGCACTCGGGAGGCAGAGGCAGGTGGATCTCTGTGAGTTCGAGTCCAGCCTGGTCTACAGAGTGAGTTCCAAGACAGCCAGGGCTACACAGAGAAACCCTGTCTTGAGAAACAAAAATAAATAATGATTTTTCCCAGTCTCATGTAGCCCAGGTTGGCCTCAAACTCTTATATGCCCAAGGATGATATTGACGCTCTGGCCCTCCGCTTCCGCGTCTAGAGAGCCTGGATTATAGGCCTGCCCTGCCTGTTCTCACCCGTGCTGGGCTGGGAATCTGGGATTGTGTGCAAGCCCCGGAGTCTGCTGGCTGCACCACTGAGCCACATCCCTCGCCTTGGCTTTTGATGTTTTGACCTCACATGCCTCAGCTAGACCTCCTGCCTCTACCTCCCGAGTGCCAAGATTAAAGGCATGCTCTTACCACACCAGGTTTGCGGGTTTGTCTGTACACAGGGTCTCAAAAGCGTGTGGTCCTCCCGCCCCAGCCTCCCGGGCAGGCGCTGGGATTGCGGGAGGCGGTGCCATCATACCCAGCTCGATGCTGAGGGCTTGATAGTGTCAGGATTACTAAGGAGGGTTTGGGAAAAGGCTGGCAGTGAGGAAGAGGAGGAGGGGCCGGGAGGGGGAAACGCTGGTGGCCTAGACATCCTGCAGAACCCGGAGGCTGGGGGCTTGAGCGCGGCTCGGAAGTGAGTCAGGGGCCTGGGCACCGGGAGGCAGCGGAGGGCGTTGGAGGGGGCAGGATGTCGGAGCCAGGTTGCAGAGGGAGGTGTCGGAGCCAGGAAGGGGAAAGAGGTGGCCGGGGAGGGGGGGGGGGTTGGGGGTAAATGCTGCTGCCAGTTTGGGAGTGTGCTGGGAATATGCTGGGAATAGCTTGAGGGGTGTTTGGGAGGCGTTAGACCGATTAACTGGCCGTTGGAGTGAGCGGCGAGTCAAGTCTGGGTATGGCTAGGTTCGGTTGGAACCAGCAGTTACAGGGCACAGAAGCAGTTCTGGGGGATGTGAGCGCCATTACTGGGAGGGATGGAGCCACTGTTCATTAACTAGTTTGGGTGCGTGCGTGCGTGCGTGTCCGGCGCTCACGTGCCACGGTGCGCACGTGCAGGTCAGAAGACAACTTTTGGTAGTCCATTCCCTCCTTCCACCACATGGATAGGAGGCGTCAAACGCAGGCTTGGGGGCACCCCACTGGCCCTGGAACCATTTTGGGGTGAGGCATGCGGAGCCTTCCGGAAGAGGGAAGACTAATAAATCCATGAGTGAATAGTGTGTGCCCATGGGGGGCGTGGATCAATTTTACACCACCATGGGGGGCTCCAAGCCAGGGGTTGCTATGGTGACCGCCTCTTTCGGGGATAGGGGCCGTGGAAACTGGAGGCCGGTTGACAACGGTGTGTCTGGAAACCAGAGGGTTCCAAAGCATCAGTGGGGGTTGACGGGCTGTTTAGGTTTAGAGCCTGTTAGTTCGGTCTCCTACCACAAGAACGGACACTTTTACCCACAGCCGCAGCCTCTCTCCAAGGTGTCCTGTCCACGGGTCCACGGCTCCGCAGTCTCCCCCTTCACGCACTTGCTCGGTTCAAAACCACCTATGGGGTCTAGCCCACGGGGAGAAAGAAAATGAATATCCAACGGTTTATTTACCCAGTCTCGTCTGGAATATTAGGCAGCCCTTGAAACGAGGGAGCCAGGGCAGTGCGACCGTACCTCAGTAAACGTCACGAGTTCATGACTGAGCAAAAGACAAGGGAAGTACTGAGTTGCAAAACACAGACATGGTAACGCCTCTTTCTTTTTTTTTTTTTTTATTTTTATTTTATCTTATGTGTATTCACGTTCTGCCTACATGCATGTCAATACACCACTTGTGTGCCTGGTGCCCACAGAGGCCAAAATAGGGGCATTGCATCCCCTAGGGATGGGGTTTCAGACGGTTGTGAGCTGCCATGTGGGAGCTGGGGATCGAACTCAGATCCTCAGCCAGTGAGTGCTCTTGACCACTGAGCCAACCACTTGGCAGCCGCTCCAGCTTTCATTATTTCGTGAGACAGGGTTTCACTCTGCATTCCAGGCTATCCAGGAGCTCACTGTGTGGCCCAGGCTGGCTTTGAACTCGGGGTGACAGTTCATCTCAGCCTCCTGGGCTCTCAGACTACACATGTGAGCTGTCATACTGGATTATTCCTTTTGTTTTTAATATTTTTCTAAATATTTGGAGTAGTTCATCATTTTTGTGGGATTTTTTTTTAAATGGTGGTAGATATGGAATCTAGGGTCTTGTGCATGCCAGGAAAGTGCTCTACCATTGAGCCACATCCTTTGCCCTGGTAGGGTGCGTTATCTTGTTTTTTGTTTTAGACGGAGTCTATAGAGTGAGGTTCTAGTTGGCTAGAACTATATAGCCCACAATATAGACCAGGCTGGCCTCAAGCCCACAGAGATTTGTCTGCCTCTGCCTTCTTTGCTGAGCCTGAAGGGTGCATTTTATCAAAAAAGAAAAAAGAAAGAAAAGGGGCCCTTGAGAAGTCTCAGTGTGTAAAGACACTTGCCGCCAAGCCTGAGGACCTGAGTTCAATCCCCAAGACCCACATTAGAAGGAGAGAACTGACTTCCTTTTAAAAGCTGTGGCACTCTGGTGTTCGTGTTCAAGCACACACAATTCGGATAAAGTTCAAATGATGACTCGGGGCTGAGGTATATCTCAGTGGTGGAGCACGGGCCCTGCACTTACCAGGCCCCTGAGTTCTACGCACAATACCGAAAATAAGGTAAAATAAAAATGCCTCCCATAGCTCGCTAGTTCCCTTGGGAAGCATTCCAAGTCCCTTGTCACAGAGTTCAGGTCCTGTGTGGCCTGCTCCTCATGACCTCCTCCCCCCCAAGGAATGAAATGCCTGCCTCCTTCCTTCCTTTGCTTCCTGTTAGCACCCATTCCAGAGTGCCTGGCCCATGCTCTGAGCCAGGGACGCAGCAGTGACTGACACAGGCCCAGCCCCACTGTCCCCAGGCTCTCAGTCCAGATGCAGACCTGTCCCCAGACAGGGACAACCATAGCGGAAACCATAGGGAGTCCAGGGGTAACCAGAGACCCAAGGATCAGGAGGACTTCCTGGAGGAGGCAGCCTTGGGACTGAGATCCAAAGCATGGAGACCTGGCTCCATGTGGGGGTGGGGTGGGGGGCACATAGACACAAGCCCAGAGACAAGGAACCAGGAGATTTATTAGCTCCGGTGAGTGTGCAGCCTGCAGACCCCGCAGCTCTGATGAGAGGTCTGAACTTCGTGCCCATGGCACTGAGGAGCCGTGGAAGGTTCAGGAGAGGAAGGATCAGGTTTATACTACGTGGAGGTCTTCAAAGCAGAGCTGCCATTTCCAAGAAGCTGAAAGGGCATGGTGGTGCACCACTGTAATCCAGGAAGCGGAGGCAGGAGGATCGGAATTCAAGGCCAACCTGCGCTACATGATTTCTGCCTCAAAAGTAAAATAAGCTTGGTGTGGTGGCTCACAGCTGTAGGCACACTTAGGGGACAGAGGCAGGAGGATCACCTCAAGTTTAAGGCCATCCTAAGCTACCTACTAAGTTTCAGGTCAACCTGTACTTCAGTCTGAAAAAAACCCGAGACTGGGGCAGAGAAGAGGTCATAGGTTCCAGCTGCGAAAGGGGTATAGGGAGAGACAAAGGATGGAGACTTAGAGATGGACAGGACTCAGGACAGTGTGAACCCTGGGTCACAGCTGTGTCCTACTGCCCGCAAGGAGTGGATCCCAAGACCTAGTAAGTTTCTTGCTTTATGGCAGTGTTGAGTATCACACCCAGAGCCTTGTGCATGCTGGGCAGGGGCTCTACCACTGAGCCACACCCCCAGCCCCTCACTGGGGGATTCTGGGCAGGGGCTCTACCATTGAGCCACACCCCAGCCCCTCACTGGGGGATTCTAGGCAGGGGCTCTACCACTGAGCCACACCTCTATTATAGTTTTGGTTTTGTTTTGTTTTGTTCCTAGTTGTTTGTGTGTTTTGAGACTGGGCTTTATCTAGTCCTGCTGGCCTGCAACTCACTATGTAGACAGACCATGCTGCTGAACAGGTGTCCATCCTCCCGTTTCTGTCTCCAGAGTGCTGGGGTTCTAGGGGTGTGTCACCACATCCATCTCCTTTATCTCCTTAATATCATCAGCTTTGTGTGTGTGTGTGTGTGTGTGTGTGTGTGTGAGAGAGAGAGAGAGAGAGAGAGAGAGAGAGAGAGAGAGAGAGAGAGAGAGAGAGAATGAGTGGGAGGGATGGAGGAGCGAGGGAGAGAGTGTTTCCTGTAGTTTAGTTGAAGCTGTCCTAAAAACTTTAATGTAGCTAAGACTGGCTTCGAACTCCCGACCCTCCACCTCCCCGGGGCTGGGATTACCGAGGGTGGCTCCACATGCGGCTTTGTCTTCGCTGTTCTGAGACCAGATGCCATTAGGTATCCCTGCCTTGCCTGGAACTCTCAGTTCTCCTGCCTCAGCCCCATATGCTGGAGTTAAAGCTGGGTCAGGACGCCTGGCTTGGAGCCTCCAAGTTTCCAGACCTGCGCCTGGCCCCTTCTAATCAAAGTCCTCAGCACACAGGGACGCCGTCACCAACACCACCTCGGTCGTTGTTTTCTGCAGGTGCCAGCCTGTCAAAATGCCAATCCTGAAGAGTCTGGGGGTGGGAGACCCCAAGGTGCCGCGGGCAGGGACTCTGCCCCTGCGGTCCTCTCGCAACCCCTTTGAAGACGCTCCAGCGCTGGAAGAAGAGGCCGGGGAGCCGGGGACACTGCCCAATGGGACATCGTGTGGCCGGCGGGCCACGCTGGAGAAGCTGGCCGGTCTGGCCCACTTCCGACTGGGCTGGACCTCGGGCCGACGGGCAGGCAGCCCCGGGGACGGGCAAGCCCGCTCTTTCTTGGGCCGTGTGCTGGCACCGGGTATACGGAGGAGCTCAGCCGATTTTGGCCTCCTGACCCGCTTTCAGGGGTTCCGAACCCATGGCGATGAGGAGCCAACTGGAGAGGCGGCTCGAAGACTGGCCTTCCTGAGACTTGGGCGTGGGCCCAAGCCCCGGCGGGCATCCCTGGCAGAGAGAGTGGTACCTGCAGGCGAGGCGGCCCCTGAGCCCCCACCCAAAGTCCCCGAGCCCCCAAAGATGAAGGAACCACTGTCGGGTGAGTGAGTGGGGACTCTTGATGCAGGCCGGGGGTGGGGTGGGGGCTCACTGTATCCATCAACCGCAGAGGGGGCGTCCCCTGTCTTCCTACCTAATCTCGCGCCAGCCTTCATCTGTGACACCATCTCAAGTCACACAGCCCACACCCACCCATCCTTCCCTGAAGTCCGTATTTGGGTCAGCAAGATGGCCCAGTACGTTAAGGTGCTCTAGCCTGACACGTGAGTTGGATCCCTGGAACCCTCATAAAGGTGGAGAGAATGGAGTCCTCAGAGTTTTCCTATGACCCCGCCACACACATGCACATTCCCCAACACACATATACAATCATAAATAAATAAATTATTATTAAGAAATCACGTAAGCGGGCCGGGCAGTGGTGGCGCACGCCTTTCATCCCGGCACTGGGGGGCAGAGCCAGGCGGATCTCTGTGAGTTCGAGGCCAGCCTGGTCTACATTTCCTGGAGCAAGATCCAGGACAGGCACTAAAACTACACAGAGAAACCCTGTCTCAAAAAAAAAAAAAAAAAAAAAAGAAAGAGGGGCTGGAGAGATGGCTCAGAGGTTAAGAGCACTGTCTACCCTTCCAGAGGTCCTGAGTTCAATTCCCAGAACCCACATGGTGGCTCACAACCATCTGTAATGAGATCTGCTGCCCTCTTCTGGCCTGTAGGGATACATGCTGTATACATAATAAATAAATAAATCTTTAAAAAAAAAAAAAAAAAAAAAAAAAAAAGAAAGAAAGAAAGAAAGAAAGAAAGAAAGAAAGAAAGAAAGAAAGAAAGAAAAAGAAAAAGAAATCACGTAAGCAAGTTTGGTCTCATGGTGGAAGGGAGCATTGACTTTCCAGGTTGACCTCTGATCCTGACATGGGCACGCACACACTACATAAATGTGTGCAACTGCAAAGCCCATTTTCAACCTCTCATGTCCACGTCCGACACTAAATAAAAGCCCAGATAGCATGCCCCATGTTCCTGAACTCTGTGCGTGCAGGCCCTGTTCCCCGATACCCCAGCCAGCCCGCCTGGCCCTGAGCTCCGCCCCACCCCCACCCCAGCCCCAGCTCAGGCTGTGCAGCTTCATTCCTTTTGAACCTCACCCCCACCCTCAACCTTCAACTTCACTTCAACGTCCTGTCCAGGCTTGCTTTTCAAAAACACCCGCCCCAGCCGCTCGCCCCACCCCCCTACCCCCATCCCGCAGCACCTGGGTTACTTCCTAAGGCCACTTTAGAGAGCAGAGGTAGTTGGTTCTGGACTGCGCCCAACAGGCCACTGTAGGGGGACCCTTCCATGCCTCTTCCCAGCTCTGGCTGGTTGCTGGGAATCTGGACGCCTTGGAATCATAGGCCCATCCTTCTAATCTTCCACCCCTGTGTGGAATTGTCCCTGTGTCTCTTCTCATTCCCCTCTCTGTCTCTCTCTGTCTCTGTGTGTGTGTGTGTGACAACAATTTGCAAGAGCCAATTCTCTCCTCCCACCATGTGGGTCCAGGGGATCGAACTCAGTTTGTCAGACTTGGTAACAAGCACCTCTCTACCTGCTGAGTCATATCCCCTACCCTCGACTTTCTGTTCTTAAGAACACCAGCCTTTGGCTTAGGACCTATGTGCCCATGATGTCCAGGAAGGTTGTATTTCTACCTGAGGTCACACTTGGAATACTGGAAGACTAGAAGCCACATTGGTTGAGGGGACACAGCCAGCCTGTAATACCAACCCCTCTCCATCCTCAACCCCACGCCCACGCCATGCTCCAGTGCTTCCTCAGCGTTCCTCTTTCCTGACCTGTTATCATGCTGTTCTCAATCCCTGGGCCTGTGGGGCGGCTTAGCCGGAAAAGCCAGGAGACCCGAACTCCATACCCAGAACCCAGGGGAAGATGAAAAGAAGAAGCCACCCCACAAAGCTGCCCTCTGACTATACTGGCGCCCGGGTGTGTGTGCTCGCTCTGCCCCCCCATCATATACACACTAACAAACAATAATGAATGAATAAGGGGCTGGAGAGACGGCTCAACCATTAAAGGCTAGGCTCACAACCAAAAATATAAATGGACAAATTCAATTATTTTCCTTTCCTTTTTCAGGACAGGGGATTGAACCCATGGCTTTCTACCCTTTCGTATTTTTTTGTTTTTTGTTTTTTTTTGCTTTATTATTGTTATTTTATGAGCTTGCCTGCATGTACGTATGTGCACCAGGTGTATACAGTGCCCCCAGAGGCCAGAAGAGGGCATTGGATCCCCTGGAACCGGAGTTGTGAGCCACCACGTGGGTCCTGGGAACCGAACCTGGGTCCTCTGCTCTTCCAGTGGTCTCTCCAGCCACTGTATGGTTTTTGAGAAGGTCTCACTATGTAGCCCTGGCTGGCCTGGAAATGTGTGAATGAGGCTCACCTCCAACTCAAGGGCAATCCTCCTGCCTCTGCCTCCTGAGTCCTGGGATTGCAGGTGTATGCCACCACACTTGGCTTTTTTTTCCCCCTCCTAATTTTGAGACAAGGTCTGCAAAGTAGTCCAGGCTAGCCTTGAATTTAGGTTTCCTTCTGCCTCAGCCTCCCCAGTAGATAGGATTATGTCTGCCTCATCGGGCCTGGCTTTCTTGTTCCGTCTGCAAATCCCAATGCCAAGCTCACTCCGACGCTAAAATGCCCTCCACCCCACTCAGCCTTCTTCCCTGCCTCCCCCAAACTCCGCCCCCCCCAGCCCTGTGCCAACCCTTCTTAGTCCAGCCCCATCCCCCACTCCACGCTTCGGAGTCAGGGGACCTTCCCGGAGTCTCTTCTGTCCTCTGATGCCCTCCACATCCTGGACAGAGGCTATTTCAGCTCCGTCTCCCTGGGGGACTGGGAGAGCACAGCGGAGAGGTGAGGAGGGGGTGACTGGAGCCCCCGCCTTCTGGAAACGGATGGGCAGAAATAGCGCTGCTCAGGAAATAGCTTCTCTGCCAGGGAGGAAGCGGAGGGGGGGGGAGGTGTTGAGGGTAACTCTTGGCCAATGGGACCCTCCTCCCCCTTGGCCTCTACTTAAGGCCTCTCAAACCTATGACTCCCCTTTCTGCCGCGGGAGGGTCCCTCCTTTGTAGAGCGTGGCCTTACCCTCACAGCCATCCTACCCCACAGACCCTTTTCTGCTCTCCATAGCTTGCCCCTGCCCAGCCTGCCCCTTGCCCCCTCCTACGGCTATCTCCATCAATTACTTACCTGGCTCTGAACACCTCTCTCACCCCCACAAGCAGCCCCTCCGCCCCTCCTCTCCGTCCCAGCCCCTTCCTACAAGCCCAGTGTTTTTTCCTTCCGCTGACCTTCTTGTACCTGAACATCCATCCATCCATCCTTCACCGCTTTCTCTAACTGTTCCCTTCTTCTCCAGCCCCTCCCAAACTCTCTCATCTCCTGCTGCTTCCTTCCTCTTTATATCCCTCTCTGCATCACTCAGCCTCGCCTGGAGCTCAGGATAGCCCGGGATAGCCTGGAACCCAAGGGCAATCCTCCCGCCTCGGCCTCGCAAGCGCGAGGATGGCACATGAGAGACCACACCACCCGTGGGCAGCTTCCTCTCCAAAGCTCCTGGCCCCAAGTCTTCCATCTTCCTTCCCAATCGCTGCCTCCCCAATCCCTCCCCTCCTTTTGGCCCTTTCTGAGGACTCATTACTGACTCCTTCTTATTTTTATTTATTTATTTTTTTTGAGATAGAGACTCATGTATCTCAGAAACGGCCTCAAACTGAACTCTTTTTCAAATTAACTTATGTGCATACGCTTTGCATGTATTTCTGTGCACTACATGTGTGCTAAGGAGGCCAGAAGAGGGGATCGGATCCCCCTCCGACCCTGAGACCTTGAACTCTTGATCTTTGTGCATCCACCTCCCCAGTGCTGGGAATATAGGCAGCGCCGCGAGGCACCCCACCCCGCACCCCCGCAGAGGACAGAGAACAATTTGCAGTCATCAGTTCGACCATGCGGGTCCTGAGGATGGAACTCAGGTCGTCAAACTTGGCAGCAGGCACCTTTGCCCACGGAGCCATCTCGTCCTTTGTTGTTTGGTGTGTGTGTGTGTGACAAGTTCTCACTCTGCGGCTTCTCTGTGTAGTTTTGGTGCCTTTCCTGGAACTCACTCTGTAGCCCAGGCTGGCCTCGAATTCACAGAGATCCTCCTGCCTCCGCCTCCCGAGCGCTGGGATGAAAGGCGTGCGCCACCACCGCCCGGCTCAGGCTGCTCCCTTGAGTGCAATTGCTGATGTTAAGGGCGGGTGTCACCAAGGTTGACAACCACACTCACTCTCTCATTTTGGGGGGAGCTAGTGGTCCAGTCCCGAGCCCTGACACCCTCTCCGTATCCCCGCGCCCTCTCATTTTGGGTGCCCCGCGCCCTGACTCTCCCCTCACCCCCCACTCTCTCATTTTGCGGGTCCCGGGGGCACCTGCCCCGCTTCCTAACACCCCCTCTCTCCCCCGAACCCCTCCGCAGTGCTGGAGATCCTGGGCCTGATCCAGAAGCGCGAGCTGGCGCGGGCGGACGAGCACATCCTGGAGCTGGAGGCGGAGGCGCCGGCGGAGGCCGAGGCGGGCGCGGGGCGGCGCGCGCGGGACGTGGCGCTGCTGTACGAGGCGCTGCAGCGCGAGCTCTGGGCGCTGGTGCGCGAGGCGCTGGCGGCCCCGGGGCCGGGCGCGGGCGCGGTGGCGCAGCTGGGCCGCGTGCTGCAGCAGGAGGAGGCGGCGGACGCGCGGCGCGGCCCCGCGGCGGCCCGCAAGCTGCGCGCGCGCTGGGCCGAGGCGGTGGCGCGCGCGGCGCGGGAGCGGCTGGAGGAGGCGGCGGCGCCGGGCGCGCGCGGGGCGCTGGCGGGGCAGCTGGAGGCGCTGCGCGCGCGCCTGCTGGAGGACGTGGCCGCGGTGCGCGGCCGCCTGGCGCCCGCCTACCCCGCGGGGCTGCGCGCCGGCGCCGTCTACCTGCGCGGCTACCACGAGGCGCTGGCCGAGTGGCTCGGGGCGGCCGCGCGCCGCAGGCTCCCGCTGGCCGATCGCTACGCCCTGCTGCACTGGCACCATCAGGTGTACCCCAGGTGAGCCTGGGGCGCCCCGGGCCCGTGCGCACGTTACCCTAGACACCTTGTTTGAGGTACTGGACTTAGGAGTAGGAGGGTCTCATGTAGCCCAGGCTAGCGTGAGCTGTTTTTTTTTGAGACAGGGTCTGGCTCTGTAGACCAGTCTGGCCTTGAACTCAGAGATCCGCTTGCCTCAGTCTCCCGAGAGCTGGGATTAAAGCAAGCACCGCCCCACCCAGCTTTTTATTTTTTTCATTTTTATTTACATGCATGCCTATGTGTGCACATATATGTTCACAGGCATGAGGGTGCCTGAAAGGAACCAGAAAAGGGCACTGTATGGAGCTGGAGTAACAGGCGGGTGTAAGTTCCCAATGTGGGTGCTGGGAATCAAACAGGTCCTTTTCAAAAATTCCAGCAAGCGCTCTTAACCCCCGCGCCATCGCGCCTCCTCCTCCTCTTCTCCCCCTCCTCCATAACAATAATCAAGCCTCAGATAAATTTCGTTGGCTGCAGTACTGACTCCTTGCCAAGCTCACTTTCTGATCCTCCTCCTCTACTTCCTTATTCTTTCATCCTTTTTGTTGTGATAAAAAAAAAACAAAAAAAAACAAAACACTCCGACCAAAAGCAACGTATGGGAGGAGAGGATTCATTCAACTCACAGGTCACAGCCCTCACCGTCCGTCCCTCCCTTTGAGACATCAGGGCAGGAACTCAAGCAGGAACTTGAAGGCAGGCTGGCTACCTGTTCAACACACAGAGAGGGACCTAGGACCCAAGGAGTTCACAGCCAAGGAAATGCAGCAGAAACCATGGAGGAATGCAGCTGGCTGGCAGGCAGGCAGGCATCTCAGCTAGCTTTTTTTGTATAGCTCAGGACCACCTGCCTAGAGAAGGGGGCCGCCCACAGTGGGCTGCAGCCTCCTGTGTCCCTTAACTATCAAGACATTCCCCCACAGACTGAACTGTTCCTTAGTTGAGGAGTCTCTAAATAGGCTGTCCCTAGTGGTGGGATTACATTAGTGTGATTACTACAGTGTGACTCGTTAGACCCTAGCAAATGTGCGACCACCTAGGACGCTGACCCTTACTGACCTTATTTCACTCCTATACCAGCTTTGTGGATTGTTCCAGTCCCAGAACCTCAGTAAACTCAGCACCAATGCCCTGGGGGTCCTCAGACAGGCCCTTCCCATTCCTTTGAGCCCGTCGCCCCCCAGGCCAGGGTCTTTAGCACTGTGCATAGTGACATCCTACACCTTAGTGGCTTGCCTCTTGGAGACTTCAAATCCTAGCACTGCAGTCCTTCCAGACCTAGAACAAACACCACTGCGTGTTCTCCTTCTGAGTTCTCAGCGCCGTTTAATCCACAGCAGGCTAGCCGCTGAGTGCTGCGGACCTTCTGGTAAATGGTGAACTGTTCATAACATGAACAGGACCAGCTGTCCACCCTTCCAGTCCCAGGAGTTTAGCACTGTGAATCTCTGTCCCCCTGACCCTCAGTCTGAGAGAATTCCAGAAGGCAGCGGGGTGTGATAGCCCACGCCTGTATTCCTGACGCTAGGGAGGTAGAGGCAGGTGGGTCTCTGTGAGTTCCAGAACAGCCTAGTCTACGTAGTGAGTGCTAGGACAGCCAGGACTATATAGAAAGACCCTGTCTCAAAAAAATAAAATGAAATGAAATTGTAAAGGACCAGTGAGATGTCTCAGGGGTAAAGAGACTTGCCATGCAAGTCTGGTTAACGTGAGGTGGAACCCTGGAACCCACGTTAGGGTGGAAAGAGAAAAGAGACCCCACAAAGATGTCTTCTGGCCTCCACGCACACATGGCATGCCTGCCCCTTTTGATCATGCATACATGCAATAGTTAAAAAAAAAATAGTAGCTCTCTTGCTGGGCAGTGGTGGCACATACGTTTCATCCCAGCACTTGGGAAGCAGAAGCAGGCAGATTTCTTAGTTCAAGGTCAGCCTGGTCTACAGAGCTAGTTCCAGGGCAGCCAGGGCAACACAAGGAAACCTGGTCTCAAAACAAAACAAAATAAACAAGCAAGTGAAAATAGTGGCTTCTGTCTCTGTCTCTCTGTCTGTCTCTCTGTTCCGGGAATTACATCCTGGCCTTGCATGCTCTCACACTCTAGACAAGCAGTCTGCCTCAGCCCCTTTCATCTTTTGTTGAGACGGGGTCTTAGTCTCTACCCCAGGCTGGATCTGAATTCACTCTGTACATCAGGGAGGCCTTGAACTTCCAATTTTCCCTCTCAACCTTCCAAATATCTAGAGAGACAAGCCAGCTACACAGATGTTTTTAAAAGATTTATTTCCTCTTCATTTGTGTGTGTGTGTGTGTGTGTGTGTGTGTGTGTGTGTGTGTGTGTGTGTACACACGCACATGCACGTGTATGCATATACTGATGCTAATGGCAGCCGGAAGTGGGGGGTGGGTCCAGGGAAGCTGGACAGACAGGCGATTGTGAGCGGCCCAGTGTGGGTGCTGGGAACCAGACCCAGGTCATCTGTAAGAGCAGTAAGCACTCTTCACAGCTGAACCCTCTCTCCAACCCTGAATTTTTTTTTTTTTCCTGAGACAGGGTTTTTCTGCATAGCCTTGGCTGTCCTGGAGCTAACTCTCTTTGTAGACCAGGCTGGCCTCGAACTCACAGAGATCCACCTGCCTCTGCCTCCTGAGTGCTGGGATTTTTTTTTCAAAGGCTTGGTAGGTTTTTAACTCTTCCAGCCTAGCATGTTGGAGCTAAGGAGCTTTAACCCTTTGATCTACTCCCTTTGGATCGTTGGACTGGGTCACTGTTGACCCTGACTGTCCCCACACTGTTGAGTTCTGTTATAGCTCAGCACCCCAGGCCCTTCCTCCCAATTCTAGAGTCTTACATCTTGTGAGCCTCTGAAACCCCAAATGGACTATACTTGTGGGGGGTTGGAGGGTATGACATGGGGATAACTCCATTGGGTTGGGCATCATGCCTTCTCTGAGAGGAAATAGGTTAGCCACCTGTAAATCACACATCAGAGAAGGAATGGATGTAGCAAAATCAGGACCCTGGTGCTCAGTGTGGTCACACGAATTTGTACTCTCAAGCAACTGGGAGGCAGAGGCAGGAGGATCAGGAGTTCAAAGTGAGCCTGGGCTATATATAGTGAGTTCCAGGCTAGCCTGGGCTACACAGTCCCCCAAAATATCTAAAAGGTCAGAACACCGTCATCAAAATAGTAGGAAGGCTGAAGCTGGTAGCCATTAGAATTGATGTCAGTGAAGCCTCAGACGATCCATGACAGGTGGAGGCAGGATATGGGTCCGGAAAGCTCTTTGAAGCGATAAGACACAGGCTAAGTCTGAATCAGAGGAAGATGGCATTTCTGACCAAGCAGATCCCACGAGGGAAAATCTTGTGAGATTGGGTGATGGGAGGTGCGGGGGTGGGCGATGATGATGATGATGATGTTACAGAGCCGCCTGAAAGGAGCTGGATTGGAAAGCCCCTCCCCCCACCCCCATCCCCCCCCAGGTGAGGCAAAGCTCCTAAGGGTAGAAGCCCAAGGGAGCCTCTGCCCCCACGAAGCCCCAATCCGCTCGCTCGTCAAGCCTGAACTTGACAGCTAAGTCTTGCCCGGACACCATCCATCAGGAGAGCTGACTCAGAGTGCTGGAGCCAAGGGAAACATAATTCTAAACACTTCCTTTGAGAGATGAGAGGAAGGGAGTGGCCCAGGGTCGTGACACCGGGGCTGTGGGGACACGTGGAGGGGCCCCGGGGCCCAGCCCCACCTCTCACAGACCTTTCTGCCTCTTACTTCCCCATCCCAGGGAGATCCTGGGCCTGGTAGACGTGGTCACCTTGGAGAATGGGGAGCTGGGGCCCCTTCTGTCCGCTGGCACCCTGCGAGGTTTGGAAGATGAATGTGTCACAGATGTGAAGGTACTTGGCCTCTTGGGGTGGGGAGGGGACTCTGGAGGTCGCAGGGGGGCTTGGCAAGCTCCCCTCCCCCACTCACTGTTTCCACTTCCCTTTCCCTGCCGTGACCTGAGTTCTGTCCAAAGTCTATTGACGTAGACATCCAAAGCAAACCTCCCTTTCTTCCTTTTTCCTTCCTCTCTTTCCTCCCCTCTTCCCTTCCTTCCCCATCTCTTTCTCTCTTTATTCTTAACTTTTCTCTTTGGACGCAGAGCCTCAACCTCCCAACGCTGAAATTACTGCCTGACCATTTCTACATTTCATGTCACCTCCCAAGTGTACCCCCAACACACAAAGGTTCGATAGATTCAGACCCCAGTCCCAGAGTCTCACTGCACGGCCCCGATGCTCACAGCAGCCCAGCATGTCAGCATCCGGGCAACACACTCCCACATCTGAGAAGAGAAAGCAGTGAATGACCAAGTCTGGGGGCGCACACCTTTAACCCCAGCCCTCGGGAAGCAGAGGCAGGCGGATAGATGAATCAGGCCAGCCTGGGCTACAGAGGGAGTTCCAGGCCAGCCAGGGCTGCACAGTGGGATTCTGTCTCAAAATCACAAAACAAAACAAAAACAAGTGGTTAATGAGAAGTCTGCTGGAGTCACACATGGAAAGCTACTCTCGCTCCTTGAGTTGAAGCACTAGGGAATCAGAGAGGCAAACCTCCAGAGTCCCCCCCTGTTCCCCCACACCACGCATTGCTGGGATGGAACAGGGGCCTTTTGAAAGTGCTCCACCACTGAGCCACATCCCCAGCCTCTCACTGGGGGATTCTATTCAGGGGCTCTACCACTGAGCCACACCCCAGCCCCTCACTGGGGGATTCTAGGCAGGGGCTCTACCACTGAGTCACACCCCAGCCCCTCACTGGGGGGTTCTAGGCAGGGGCTCTACCACTGAGCCACACCCCAGCCCATCACTGGGGGATTCTAGGCAGGGGCTCTACCACTGAGCCACACCCCAGCCCCTCACTGGGGGATTCTAGGCAGGTGCTCTACCACTGAGCCACACCCCCAGGTCCTCACTGGGGGAGTCTAGGCAGGGGCTCTACCACTGAGCTAAACACCTATCATTTACCCTTTGGCATTCTTGAATCAGAATTC